TGCACTTTTCTCAGCCATTTGCTGCCATTGTTTTGCAGCTAAATGAATCTTAAAAGCAAACGTGAGCATCAACACAGCTACGAATACTTACTTGCCGGGTTGAAGTATCTTTTTTTTTTATCTTTTCGGTTGCCTTTTGTTTTGGTTGGGTTTTCCTTGTACTTTTCCTTGTGGCTTTTCTTTTGCTTAGATCTTTCGATGACTGAGCTGAATTTTAAAAGCCTTTTAGTTTGAGCTGCGATTTTTCGGACGAAGTGACTGTAAAAGGGGAGCATTGTCAAATTATATTTGAGCTTAAGTCATTATCGAGACAATGGGTTAACAGTAATCGAAATATAATTAAAACAAAGGTAAAATCTGGATTGGCTAATGTGTTTATGGTGGGCTATGGAAAGCAATAAATAATGATGGATTTTATATTTGATACAAGTTTAATTATTCTTTTGTTTAGATTTTTTTAGGGTTATAATAAATATATTAAAATATTAGTGCCTAAATTAACTGTATTGCAATAGTAATCAAAAGTATTCATTAAAGACTTTAAAGTATATTTTCATTAGAAAAAATTTAAATTATTAAAGCTTCTCACTAAAATTATAATATGATGAAAGGGTATGAAAGTCCAGTATTCTCAAAACTGTTTATTTTTAAAAACTTATTAAATATTTATGTCCATACATAAAAACTTTATATATAGAATATATACTTAATGATCGATCTGCTGCCAGAGCTGTGCATTTTCCTATTTACTAATAGAAAACCATCTGGATCCCTTTTAGTGCAGATGTGTGCTTTAAACAGGAAAAACTCTGGACCGAAGGCAAATGATTTATGGCGCCACGTGCTTTGGTTTTGTATTTGTTTTCAACAAAAATTACTGACCTATGGCTATGGCTAATGGCACAACCCATCGACAATGTTAAGCTTTAACAGCAAAAGAGTTTGGGAAAACTCTTAAAATCCTTAACAGTGGCTAAGTGAATGAAAATGTTCAATAACATTGCAGACTCTTTGGGAAATTTACTCTGCCATTGGCTCTCTTTGCTGTTAGCAAGTCTGTATGTTATGCTCTGTAAATATTTACAAGAATGTTAGGCTAATGGCCAAAAGCAGCATAAATCACAGAAGTCGAGGTTGTGTCGACGGCAATGCGGTTTTCCAACCACCCACGCTACGCCCCCCGTGGAATACTCCACAAAACCACTCGCCCTGCAAGTGCCCCAAATGTGCATTTAAATTAGCAAAGGAGGGAGAGGGGACACTCGGCGGTTCCACATACATTTGCAACGCACAAACTGCAATGTCATTTCTATGCACAATGAATGCATAAATCATTAACAAGCATTCGTCGCTCTTCCCGCTCACCACAAAAATAATAACAATAATGCTAAAAACTGCAGCGGCACATACCGATGTTGCCACAATGCCCATGTGGATGCCACCCAATCAGGAAAACCACTTCCCACCGAAAAAGAACCCTATCTGCCCCCGTTGGTGGCATGTGCAACCAATTACTGGCATTTCCGGCAATCAGTTTTTAGCGCCCGAAATTCGCAAACAAGCGAGGCGCCCGAGTATAGTTGTAATCATTTTTGGAAATTTCAAATTTCAATTCGAATCCTGTTCCCGAGCATCGATGTCCGTCCGTCCGTCTGTCCGTCTGTCCGTCCGTTGTGCCATCACAACTCGGGCGAGTTGAGCAGTCAAAATTTATGTTCCCATCCATAGATCATCATGGAATGACACTCGGACAGTGGGAGTTGTTATTGTTCTTCTTGTTGTCCTGTTGGGTACGAGTCCTTTTGGGCCAGGCTTCGAATGGAATGACATTTTGGCCCAACGATAAAGGATTGGAGTTCAAATTGCTTTAGATATGTGTGTATGTGGAATTTTTGTATCATTTTTTATTAGGTTTAAAATGAAGAAGGATTTTATGATTATTCCTAATAAATGAGAACAAGAAATATAAATTAATACATATCTGATCTAAAAAACTACATTCGGAAGCAGTTATAACAATTAAAGAAACTCTAACCCATTCAATTTACATTAGAGGTTAATGTTAATAAGCAATATATGAACCTAACATAAAAAAATATTAAAGGAGACTCTCTCAGGATACCCCAATATATTCCAATTTAAGCTCATCTCTGTGGCTCCACTGCATCCGAACATGTCTTGGCCATCGGAAAATGTCTCACGGTTGACTGCCAGAGATTGTGAAACTTGTCAGTCAGACAACGTTGGCCAAGTGACCTTTCCGATGCGCTCACCTTGGCACAGACACACCAAAGTCACCTCCCATCCACCCAAAAGCTCAATTGGACTCGAATAAAATGTCAAAAAATGATATTTGCATACACCGCTTTCTCTGCTTTCATTTAATTGAAATCGAAATTGAGTCTCTGTTCTACAAAATAGTTTTACTATTTTTTTTATCCTTCTTGCATTCGGAAGGCTTAAAATAATGCTGATTATGAAAACCGCGGCATGTATAAACTATTTTAATTAAACAACTGACCGATTGTCGATACTGATGATTAGGATAACGAGCTCTAGTGAATAACACTAAAACTATGCGTAATAAAGATGAAACCGACAAACAAAAACCAAAATATATTCAAATGTAGGACAGAATGCCAATTAGCCTATTGAATTTTATTCGAGTTCATTTAAACTTTTCCTGTTTGACAAGAAATGGTCCATAAACGAAGGTATTTTTGTTATTCAAAATGCATTTGCTTTAATATTTCCTGCCATACATCTAACATAGATTTAAATAACATTTCAACATGAAAAATACAAGCACTAATTTAATTAAGCAGAGTGTTTCAAATCTAAAACATCGTTGGACTTAATTAAATTCAAGTTGAAATACTGTTTTTGGGTGAAAAATGATATTTCGTATTTTCCGAGGATAAAGCTGCATGATGACCAAAGAAAAATGATAGCCCATCAAGGATACTGCAAATTGATTAATGGGGTCACCATGGGAAAGTGCATTCATTCCATGTAACAGAATCGGAAAAGCACAGAGAACCGTCTAAACCAGAAACCAATCGCTTATCATTTGTTGCAGCTTGAAAAAGCGCAAGGCACTAATTGAATGTCATCAGGGGCATCGACAATGTCAATTTGAAATATTATTAAGACCATTTTACATGCAGTTTGCACTTTTTTTTCCCCATGGCGCAAAATGAGAGGAGGAAAAGCGATCTCGTCTAAGTAAGCTCTGACTAGCGAAATGTGCGTAAACAGCATTCAATTTCCCGGTCTTTTCTTTTTATGCTTTTCTTTTTTAATATTTGCAGCAGCTGCAAAATGTAAATGACAAGGTTCCTATTAAGAATTTTGTATGGAAGAGAAGTGGAGAAAACTAAATTAAAAGCAGCTGTACTAGTCCTTATTATAAGAGTTCTAAACAAAGGGGAATTAAGCTTAAATGTACTAATAATATTTATATTAATTTCACACTGTTTTATTGAGTGAAACAGCATAAGCATAAATCATAACTCAGTCTTTAAGCGAAACGTGATCCTTCCGCTGTCAAAAACTCCACAGTTTCCCCTCAAAAGTCGGCAGCGTTATTGTTCTTTTTTGGCACCATGCACAAACAGCCAGACAACCCGACTGACTCTGAAACCGAAAGCCAAAAATGCAAAAAATACAAGTGAAATAAACAAAAGAAAAACAAGGCAGACGCCAAGACGAGGAAGAGAGAGAGAGTGGAACTCCAGAGACGTTTTATTTATAATGAAGTTCATTTACTTTGTGCAAAAATACAAAAAGAGCACACACAAACGATTTAGTTGTGGAAGCGGAAGGATGCGAAGAAAAGGAGTGCAGGTCCTGGTGCAATGTCTTCAAGGCAGTTGCTGTTGCTATTGTTTTAGCCGTTGTTCCTTGCAAGATTAATATGCTGCCGTTTTCTACTACTTATGCTGCCTTTCAAGCCCAGGCTAGCACATCCTGTCAAGCATCAAGCACCCACACACGAAACTCCTTTACACAGTGAATTCTGGGAAATTGAATTCAATTTCACCTAATATTCAAGTGTTTGCTTTCACGCAAAATATACATTTCCATTAATAAACAGATTGGGGTAGGATTTGACTAATTAAATTCCGTAGAATCATTTAAAATTTTGGAAATGTGTTGTCCTAAATAGCATTATTGTAGAATGTTCTTTAGACTTCAAGGCCCAAATATTGTTAAGTAACCCAGTTCAAAGAATTTCCTATAATGATTTTAATATTGGTAAAATTGTATATTAAATTTAGCGGAAAATTCTTGTGTTTCTATTGCCATGAAAGAAATACAATTTTATCTTAGTATTTATTATGATATCTTTACACACTTTTAATTCCTACTTTAATGAGTGTAAGTGTACTCTTGCTGTGATATGTGTTTTTGTTTGCTGAAAACTTAAGTCAGGAAAGAAGTCTTTTCAGAAGCAAAAGGCGGGCCAACAGGCAGCGGAATACTTTGGCAAACGAAAATATTACACAACTACTTTAAGAAGGGGATTTATTGTGCATTTTGTGCCGTTGCCCCTGCTTTCCACCTAGCCCAAAACCCTTTGCTCAGCGAGATGCAATGAAGCCGAAATGCAGCACTCAACTTGAGCTCCTGTCGCTCCCTCAACGAGCCGAAAATCTTAACGGAGGCTCCCACGGCGAAAATGAGCAGGAAATGGGTGGCTCCTTTCCACATCTTCTGGCTCCTGGCAGCATTTCCATTTTGCATCCTTTGGGCGAGCAGCGCCATAACTGCCGCTTGTATGCAGTTACACATCACACTTTAGTTCTGCAAAGTGGCAGTTTCCTTCGGCACACAGTTTGTCTTTTCATTAGTTTCGGATTTAAGTGTTATCCTTACGAGTCTGTGACTGCTAAGGATATTCCTCGCCCTTCTAAATATTCACAAAACGGAAAGAGCTTGACCTTTTGATGGCGTTTTTCTGGGAATTTGCTAATAGGTTTTGTGGTGTTAAAAAATATATATTTTTTCCAAGTATTTTTATTTTATGACACTTAAATTTGAAATATAGATTTCCCAGAGCTCTTCCCTAAAACTTCCCATCGTCTCTGCCTTCGTTATGCCTCAGATTAGAGAGGACTCTGCGATGCGACTCCTTGTGTGGATCCCGGAGCTTGAGGGCAAAGCAAACTGGGGTGAGTATGTCGTCCACATGCGGAATCTTCGATGAGCTTGGCATCCGCTTCAGTCCCGTCCATACCCTATGACGACCCCCAGTATCCTGGGTGGGATTGGGTGCCACGGCTACCTCAAAGGATCCAGCCTGCGGTGGACCCCTGTCGTTGATCCTCAGCTGTAGATTGACCCTCGGGTGGATGGTCCTCAAAGCCTCCGCCAGCGTAGAATGGAGATGCAATGCGCGTTTCCGATACGTTTCACGATGGCTACAGTGCTCGATGTAGAGCACCGGCTGGTTCGGATCCAGGGCCGCTTGTCGGGCATCTCGATGGACGGTGGACATGCAGGCAGGTGACAACAGGAGAACAGACTAAGGACTCTAACGTACAGGTCTCATTGTAGCGAACCCTCTGCTCGGGAGGGGAGAAAGTCTGGGGGCTCACTGGCTTGACACAATTCTCCTGGGCACTCAGCTCAGCTTCATAACGAAACCGGGCTAGGTGGAGGTCACAGGACCAACTTCATAAATCAAATAAAAGAGCGTATCTGACAAATAAATCTTCGAGACCAAAACAGGCTCGACAAAAGAAGCATAACATGCAAATGCGCATAAAATATGCTAAAGCCACAGGACTTGAAATGAGTACAAAAAAAAAATAATTTCTTTATCAGGCAACATAAATAGACAGTGAATACTAACAAATTAAACCATTGATAATAATGGGAAATCTTTAAGAGATATATATCCAGATTGTCACAGTAAAATATGATTAATATTTTAACGAACTAATCCTGTCAATAATCACACCGTTGTTAACTATTCAAAATCATATATTATTCTTAAAATATATTTTTTTCTGCTAATAATTACTGTACATCTAGTATCCTTATATTGTCCAGTTTCTGCTGACATTTTGACCTGCGGCAACTTGAAAATATGTATAATCGAGTCGATTTTTTCCCCTAAAAATTTGCCAAGCCAAAGAGTAAAGCCACACAGACACAGGCAGAGGCAAAATAGAATTCTACTTATAGAAAGGAAGCCAAATGAAAAAAAAATGAAAAAGGAAAATGTATATTTTAATAAACCGAACACAAAAGTCGAGCAGCAGCAGCAGGACCCACCAATGCCGCCCCAGCCAGCGGCAAGGTTAGCCAGTTCATTCATTCGGTTTTATTCACAGTTATTGAAAGTAGAGCAGCGCTGCTCTCGAATAATATAAAAATAAATAAAAGTAAGACCGAGTCGTGAGTTCCCATCTCCCAGCTATGATAATATGGCACAAGGGGTTAGGGGTCGGAACGTGAACCTCCCCGACCGACGACAGTTGACAGACGACGACGCAAATCCCGAGGAACCAAATGAAGACTCAATAGTCGCCTTGCTGAATACTCATAATAAAATTTTCTTTATTTTGGCAGGCCATTTAAAAGGTATTTGTATTGGAAAAATCCATTAAATCTTGATGGAAATTGTGTATTAAAATTATTTATAATTGCTTTTCTTTTTTGGTTTAGTTTTTAGTTAAACCTTTCCCTATTTAATACTTAACCTAATATCCCCTTTTATTCCACATGTATCGGGTAGAAATATATTCACCGAATCCGAATTCTGAGTCTTGAGGTCTGGGCTGCCGTGACGATTGGTGGCTGGCTCCTCTGATTGGATCAGCATTCAGAGTTTGTGTTGTCAAAAGTCTCAACAAATAGTCATGGGGACACTACCGACTTTTGCTTTAAGTTGGCAAAAACGTAGTTTATCGTACAAACATTGTTCAGCGCATTTCTTTTGGGCTTTATAAAAGCCAAGAAATATTAACCTGGGATTTATGGTATTTATCCGTTTGAATATTTGCAGGAAAGGGTCACAAGAGCTTAAATTCATTATTGCAGTTAAATTTATTTGAACAATTTGTTGGCTTTGAAATAAACTTTGGGGATAAAATATAAATATATATAGAATGAGTAACTTCTTTTATTAATTTAAAGTCAGTTTAGTTCTAGGGATAGTATTTTAGTGGGCGAAAGTTGTCAGCCCGGAACTTATGCATTGAATATTTAAACCTACCGATTTAAGGTCATGTTCTCAATATTTAATTTTAAATTATATCCCCCTGACGGCAGATATTTTCGGTTGGCACACTCATTAAGATAATTGTCAACAGTATCGTTCGGCTCTCGGCAAGACCGCCGCGAATTGAGCAACTTTTGCACTCGTCAGCGGGAACTTATAGATGACCGGGTAAGCCGGTCAGTGGCCTCGTCCCATTTGTCAATGTTCCTGCAACTGCCACAGGGCTCCACGCAGCCTTCAACCTTCAGTTTCACTTATTCATTTTCCCCATCGCCCCCGGATTTTCTTCTGGTCCTTTAATTTTTTTCAGTTTGCTCTCTTTGTAGCCCGCCACAAATTGGCCAATGCGTTTGTTCGGGCATCCCAGAAGTTGCCGGGGATTAAAAAACGTTTTGCATGCCAGCGGCTAAAGGATGAGGAGGTGGATTCACAGATTCAGGGATTCAGGATTCAGGTTCAGATTGAACTAGGGCGGGGATGGCAAATGAAATGCGTAAATGAATTTGTGAAAATTATTTGAGCCGCCTGGACGGCGCTTGATTAAATTTTCTCAGTACCAACGAGTCCGGCGGGCATAAAACGAATCCACATTATTTATAAAGTATCCGAATAAATGAGTTTCCATTGATATACAAACATAGATTGGGCCGCTCATCGAGGGATTTCCCAGGCGGGCAAAATATTTTCCCCAATTTCGTCTTGGTTGTATTTTTATTTATTTCAATTATGAAAAGTTTTGGCCAACACGACGATGGCCACAGAAAAGCGTCGAAAAAAAAAGAACTGGAGAAGGAAAATGGAGAACAAAAAGTCTCAAGTGGATTTTTTTCCTCCTTTAAATTCACTTGAGCTTGTATTTGTATCTTTTGCTGCTGGATTTCCTTACATTTTATTCCTGCGGACGTAGGGTAAACAAACATTAACTGCTCAATTGTTTTCAACGCGCTGCTTTGTCCTGAATTGATGAGCTTTAAATCGGTGGGCCTTCTTTTGTATTTTTTTCTCTATATATATTTCTCACTCCGCCTGACTTTATTGTCCTATTTTGTCCTCCTTGGCCTGCCCTATTGCCCCTCTTCATCACAGCAATTTATTCATAATCAACAGTGTTAGCCTAATTGGTATGTCAGGCGTGGAATCCCAGGGCGTTTTATTTAGTTTTCTAGACGTTCTTGAATTTTAATTCGCTCTAGGGTTTTTAAATATTTGTATAACAAATTACATTATTTTGTTTATTTACTTTTATTGGCAGATACATTCCAGTATTACACAATTATTAATTATTAAAATTATATTCCTTATCATATTCTGTTATAAAATAATAAACAGTATTATAAATAATCTATAAATATTTTGAAATTAGTGGGGTCCAAATATATATTGTAAAATACCTTATAAATTAAGTAGCATAACCCGAAAGTCTTTTAAACCTTAACCAATTAAAGTATTTAGTTAACAATCTTAATTGATTTTAAAGTTACAAAATCCATTACTGGAACATCATTTGTGTGTTGTTTTTTTAATGGTTTGATATTGCATTATCACACAATTTCCAGCAAAACAATGAGGTCCATCCATTCCCCTTCGTATATTTGCTGCCGGGCTTATGCGCCTCTGGTGTTGTCTTCAACAGGTAAACGTTTTTACGCTTTATTTTCCGTCTGCTCTCTTGTGCTTATAATTAAATATTTTCTTTTCAATTTTCATAATTCCAAGAATGGGTTTCCAGCTGTAGCAGCAGCAGGCCCCGTTCTCAGTGTTATTTTTAAAGTGTTTTGTTTATCTTTAATTAGCCGTTTGTACTGGCGCTTATCGCTGAGGCGAAATGCGTGGGAGCGGGCTGACTTAATGGCCAATTGGCGGGGAGAGTGTGTGTGTGGGTGGTTGCTGGTGTGTGTTGGGTGATGGGGTGACTGCTTCTGATATGATTAATTACCTAATTATTGCATTAGATTATCGCACAGCTGTGGCTGCGAGAAGTTAAAGCCTGGCCTGCGGCCTTTATTGCTGCCGTTTAATCACTGCCATCCAACACCGAACTCAATGGATTTTCAATTCGACTTTGGGGTCAAGACATTGCCGAATGACTGTGGTCAGCACATTTTGTGGGAAATGCTGGGAAATTCCAGGCACGTTCGCCAAACAATTGTGTTTCAGCCCTCCTCTGATCAATGGCAAAACTATTTACACTTTAATGTGGCTATCGTGTGAAGTCATGGTCTGAAATTGTAAATATCAACAAGTAAATGGGACCATAACATAAGAAGCTCTTGCCAAACAATAAAAATTAATATTATTAAAAATGGACAGAACTTGGGATATAAATCCGATTGGACTACAGTTGTTTCCGTAGCTTTTGTCTGTTGACCAGCCATTATGTTCGCATAGATACAGATGTATCTCGTCTATTGCGAAAAACATTTTCAATATCAAAGTCACGTGCAAATGTTGTATATTAGTTTCCTGTCCGTATCCCAATGTTGGTTTTCCTGTGTTTTTTCTTGCCTTTGGCAGCTGCCACCTTGTTTGCCAACGCTCTAGTGATTTTAGTTTGAATTTTACGTGCCCATCAAAATGATTATGGGCACGCACACACAGCCTCCACGCTCTCACATAGATTTTTGGGCGGTTCCATGTAGTTAACGTATTCATGCACTTCATTAGGAGCGTCATGTCATGCGGCACACGGAGCAAAGTATCCGAGAATCTGTGTATCTCTGACTCTGTGTGGCCCCACAGCCATGGAGCCTGTGTATTGTGTTGTATCCGTGAGGTTCAAAATCTGCGTGTATGTGTGTATCTGTGCGCGGTTGTCGCCTGGGACACTGATGTTTAGCGCTCGGCAAAGTCGTTTTAATTAAAGTTTGTGCAGGCATTGAAATTATGTACCATTACAGTTTTATGCATATTCAGCTAAGTGCGACGGGAATGTGAATCTATATATATAGCTATAGGTCAGATTAGTAGGATCAGGAGATTTTAAGGACTAAAAACTAATACATTAGTTAAATAAACTTTAAAATTCAGTTAATATATTTCAATCAGAAATAAAAGATATTGGAACCCATTTAGTTTCTAATTTAAAGAGAGTTTCATGTGTATTATCAACAACCTCGAACTATAGTATTATTTATTAATTGATACAATATTTTATTATTCATTTTAAATATATAGTGTACTATTCCTATTACTTGTCCTCTATTTTATGTATTCACGTACATATTTGTGGGTATATTGAACACATGTGAGTGTCATCGAGTTCGAGCCGCAGAGTTTGGTTGCGAGCTTGTTGTGTGTTGCTTTTATCGGTTTTTGCCTACCGAGAAATTAGTTATATAGTGTCGCTATGCATTAAGCCGATTAAAAGTTTTCCTATCAACACTATTGTAATTGCAACAAGTTGGTTTTGACGC